GCCAATATTATATTTGCTATTTATTATCATTTTATTTATATCCTGCCTTTCTCTTTACAGGATCCAAGGCTGCCTACAGCATTGGAAAAATGGGGTATGGTTAAAACATTATTTATACAAAAGTTAAAAAAACAAACAAATGATATTTCAGTTAAAAATATCAGCCTGACAGAAATCTACGATCTTCTGCAGATGTCCTGTTAACCCTGTAAAGCTAGGCTGGTGGGTGCATAGGGCAGAACTTTCTCTGTAGTTGCACTCTCTGGCTGTGGAACATCTTTCTGAGGGTCAGGCTGACTCCATGCCTTCTGAGTTTCCAGCAAGCAGTGAAGACTCTGCTGTCTCACATGGTCTTTGCCTCTTAAAATTAGGTGGGGAAGGTGCTCTGGATGTTTTTTAAACTGATTATTTGGAATTTTAAAAAAGAGTTTAAACTGTTTGTAGTTGGGATTTTATTTCTTTAATGTTTGTAAAGCTGTTATCGATTGTGTGTTGCCTCAGGGGCTCTGGTAGGCCAAGAGATGGTGTGTGTATTATTATTTATATATAATAAAACCCAGTTGCAGATAATGTCCCATGACCCTGTTGGTGTTGCATTTCTTCTCTTATAATATATTGCTGAGAAGAGACACATGGATGAAACAGTCTCCAAAAATCATACACCTGGAGCATTAACCTCAAACAGAAACCCTTTCATTGGCAGCAGCTCACACCTCCAGCCATATATTATTGCAAGACTGGATATTAAGCAATTAGTATGTAACCGAACCAGTGGGAACTGCATTCAGTGACAAATGGTTGCATCTATCCTGAGCTGTCCTGTACAGTCTGTTGTTTTAATTAAATCTATAGTGGTTGTTCCACCCACATCATCATCATCATCATATTCCACCCTTCTCCCAGGACTGGGACTCAGGGCTGCTTACAACATTTAAAAAACAAAACAAAAACAAAAAACCAATACAATTAAAAACATATCAAAAATACATAAAAACAGAATTAAACTATTACAATAAAATAAAAAAGAT